CTATCTATCTATCTATCTATCTATCTATCTATCTATCTATCTATCTATCTGCAATTAAGGCACTTTTTTTTTACTTTTGGTAGAGATGTCAACATATGCTTATTTTCTTTCCTGCAAGGAAGAGGTGCATCACATTTTTTTCTCCACTGGGCAGGAATCCAGGAGTCTTTGTGCACTCTTCAGATATCAGGACTTTGTGGAGAAGTGTTCTTCTTAAACAAAGCCTTTTTTGTGCCAAAAAGCCTGTATTTCTGGAAAAAACATTCTTTTCACTCACATGCAAGAGGGGGAAAAAAACCTTGTGGCAGGTGATGTGGTTCCTTGATGTGACAAGACATTCTTTTTCATCCAAGATAAGAAAACCAGTGCATATGAGTCTTTACCCTGTACTGTGACCCCTGTTTGTTTAAATCCAGACTAATTACACTAAAAACCAAACTGTGGTCAGTGGCACATCCATCTGGATAGGATTGGGCTTCATGGTCCCTCTACAAAGAGGCAGATGTACCTGTGGTAATCCCATCGCTGTCTCTGCTGATCATCTCATTTCCAAGACGGCTCTTTGTTTTTCCTTTGAATGCAACTGGCAGGGAGGATGAGAGGCTCATCTAAAAGGGTGTGGGGAGAAGAAAAAGAAGGAAAGAAAATAGGAATGTCTCTTCTGAAATTCATCTTAGGCCAGGACACCACTGACCTTCTGCAGGGCAATGACTTCAGCCACAGCCAAGGTGCTCCAGGCTGCTTTGGGCAGTAATTAATACCATTAGCAATGCATTAATAAGGCATCCAAGACAGATTGTGCACTTCTTGGCGACCCTTGCTCTCTGCCGGTGGCAAATGGCTACTTGGACCCTCTTTAGACGCGAAACTCAAAAAGGATATCGCTCTCTGGCCCATGCTGTGATTTGCATATCCGTCGCTGAAATCTGCAGGAGCACCTGTGCGCATGCACACACACACACACACACACACACACACACATACACACACCAAATAGACTTGCAGAATGTTGATTCTGAGTAGCAAGAGGTCAGCCTGAAAGCTCTACGCCGGTGAAGAGGAGATAAGGTTTGGTCACTTTGGGACGTCTCGTCTGCTCCTAGTTGGGCTCAAACCAAGACTATTCGCCAAAAGGACATTGATGCATCTGGCAGCATGAGAATTTGGAGATGACAAACGTGAAGTGACAGTATTTACCCATTTGAGTGGTAGACCACTCACCTGGATAGCAGTAATTAATCCACATGGGTGAAGCATTAATAATCGTATGGAGGGGTAGCCCTCTCTCATCACTGGCCTTAGTCCCATACAGTGGTTCCCAAAACAGAAACTCTGGAAGCAGCTATGTATTCATTATTTGTTGTTGTTGTTTAGTCACTTAGTCGTGTCCAACCCTTCATGACCCCCATGGACCAGAGCACTCCAGGCCCTCCTGTCTTCCACTGCCTCCCAGAGTTTGTTCAAATTCGTGTTGGTTGCTTCATTGACACTGTCCAACCATCTCATCCTCTGTAGCCCCCTTCTCCTCCTGCCCTCACACTTTCCCAACATCAGGGTCTTTTCCAGGGAGTCTTCTCCCCATGAAATGGCCAAAGTAATGAAGCCTCAGCTTCAGGATCCATCCTTCCAGTGAGCATTCGGTGTTGATTTCCTTCAGAATGGATAGGTTTGTCCTCCTTGCAGCCCAGGGGACTCTCAAGAGCCTCCTCCAGCATCACAACTCAAAAGCATCAATTCTTCAGCAATCAACCTTCTTTATGGTCCAGCTCCAGCCATTTACAGTATTATTCAGTCATTTATTTATATCATTTCTCCTCTGCCTCTCTCCCAGATGTCTGCTCACAGTAATTGTACTGAGATAGAGCCATGGCCCATCTGTCTAGTGTGGTCAGCAATACTGATGTGGTTCAGGAAGTTGGACTAGAACTCTGGACACGTCCTCTCTCTGCCATGAAACTCACTGGGTGATTGTGGGCCAGTCCCTTGCTCTCTGGCTGACTGACTTCATAGGGTGGTTGTTGGGAAGGTAAAGTGGGCTTTAGGTTATGAGACTTATGATCCAAGAAATCTGAAACTCCCATCGCGAGTGCTTTCTGCTGCCCCTACTTTACCCATGCAGTGGAGAAAGGAACTGCTGAAATGTCCTTGACCTCTTGATTCATGAACCAAATGGTGAGATATGGACTGTGGGTGCAACCAGGATGACTTCCATTCAGAATTGGGATAGATTATTTCAGAGCTTAGAAATGTTAAAAGGGACATGGTGGCGCTGTGGGCTAAACCACAGAAGCCTCTGTGCTGCAGGGTCAGAAGACCAGCTGTCGTAAGATCGAATCCACGCAACGAAGCGAGCTCCTGTCGCTTGCCCCAGCTCCTGCCAACGGAGCAGTTCGAAAGCATGTTAAAATGTGAGTTGGTAAATAGGGACCACCTCGGTGGGAAGATCACGGCGTTTCATGTCTAGTCGTTCTGGCCACGTGACCATGGAAACTATCTTTGGACAAACGCTGGCTCTACAGCTTGGAGACGGGGATGAGCACTGCATCCTAGAGTCGGACACGACTGGACTAAATGTCAAGGGGAACCTTTACCTTTTAGAAATGTTACTTTGATGGACTACAGCTTGCTAAAATCTCCCAGGATATTGTTCACAGATATAAGGTGTCAAAACTCCGGTTGGTTCCTGATCCATTTGAGTACAGATCTGAATGCAATTGTCTGTAAAGTAGACATTTTTGTGTATCTCTTGTCACCTCCTAAGTGTTTCCATGTACAGTGGCGCCTCGCTTAGCGATGTTAATTCATTCCCAAAAAATCGCTGCTAAGCGATTTCATCACTAAGCGAAATGCGGTTTCCCACTGAAATGCACTGAAAACCGGATAAACCGTTCCAATAGGAATGAATTGCCGTCCTTAAACGAAAATCGCCATAGGAAACATCGCTAAGCAAAACGCGGTTCCCCAATTGAAATGCATTGAAACCTATTCAATGCATCTCAATGGGGGGAAAAAAATACAACAATAAATTAAAAAGAGTCAGAACAAAGTCAAATTTGGTTAACAAAGGGGTTAAGTGCACTTTATGATTTCAAACATGTTAAACAGTAAACTCTAACTGTATAACAGGAAAACATTTAAAAAACAGCAAACATGAGGTTGTTTAAACCATCATTAAGTGAAACAGGGGACCCAAAATTTAATCGCTATGCGAAGCATGGTACCAACCATCACTAAGTGAAAATCTCCCAATTGGACCATCGTTAAACAAAGCGCAAAAATGCTCCAGAAAAGTTGTTGCTAAGCGATTTCATCGTAAAACGGAGCAATTGCTAAGTGAGGCCCCACTGTATTTCTGCCTCAAAAAGTCTTGATGCTATGCCTTTAAAAAAATTGTGTTTTTTTCTTTTTTTCAGAAAACATGATCCGCTACACTGGCAGCCCAGACAGCTTGCGCTCCCGGGCGCCCATGATAACACCTGACCTGGAGAGCGGGGTGAAGATGTGGCATCTGGTCAAGAACCATGAACATGGAGATCAGAAAGAGGGTGACCGAGGGAGCAAGATGGTGTCAGAGATATATCTGACCCGGCTGCTAGCTACCAAGGTAAGGGAGGATGGGGAAATGACTGAAATCGGAAGAGTACCGTACATTTTGGAATCCAGGTGCCAGAAACCCCTCACCTGCTTTGAGGATTCTGGGAAATGTAGTCCAAAGAGGTAATTTTTCCAGGTTCTGAGAAAGGATGAAAGAATTTGGTAGAGAGGAAGCCAAAACTAGAGGTGTGCATTTTTATGTTTCTGGGCCACAATTCACAGCACGATCCAAGAATTCCCCAGGCAGAATTCTGGGAATTTCAGTCCTCAAACACATACCTACAGACATGATACACACCTGGAGCAGGATGTACCTCTGAGGCTGTATGGCTTTCTTTGGCCTTGCTTCTGGGAGCCATCGTTCTTATAAACCTAGTGGGCGAAAAGACTACGACTCCCAGCAAACACTGAAACAGCTTCCTTTATCCCCCCCCCCAATAAACCACAGGAAGCAAGATGGAAACCTCAGACATTGTGATGGCTGCCAGCATGGGCATCTTCAAATTTATGGAGGACAGGACTATAAGTGATTATTGATCATGATAAATATGTAGTTCCTCCAGCATCAAAGATGGTTTGCTTCTTTAAATAGGGTGTGTGTGTGTGTGTGTGTGTGTGTGTGTGTGACAAGAAACCTAAATATTGATAAAGTCACTAGCCTTTTGGATCTCCTGAGAGCAAAGAGGTGTTAGTTAAGTCTGTAATTTACACAAAATACCTCGTTTGTATCCTTTCCCTTTGAAAAACCAAGTAGAAACACACACGGAGAACAAGGACGGGAGGAATGGCTTGTTATCATGAAAGATGCAGCGCATCTAGTGTTTCTTAAAATAAGCAGCAATCGTCTTAATTTGGAGCAATTTACACAACAGATGTGGTTGCACAAAAAAGACAACTTGGGCAAGGTTCCGTAAAGTTTGTCCGTTTTGCACAAAAATGGGCTTCCTTCCGTTTGCTCAGGAATGCCAGGAAATGTCACATCACCGGCACCAGCTTGGAATAAAATCTGTCCATGAAATGTAAGAAGAAGAAGAGAGAAGAATCACAACCCTGCAATAGAGTGTGTGAGATCCTATTGGGTAGAGTCTGCCTGCAGAATGGAAGTGATGTTCTTGGCAATGGCAGATAGTTGCTGATTCAAAGCTTCTGTGTGTGATTGTGGTGCGCTGTGTACCAGCTGTGTCCACCCTGAAATCCCTTCAAAGGAAGCTTTGACTCAGGGCCAAGCCGCCGCCGCCAGGGACATGATTCCAGTTACGCAGGCACTGCTGCACAACAGGATTTGAGCCATTATTGAAAAAGGAGAAGAGGACTGAGATCTGAGGAACAAGCCAAGCTATTTCACAAGTTTCTGAATGAACTCGACTGATCTGAAAGAGCCCCCCCCCCAAGCCACTTTACATCTCTGGGCACAGACTTCTCACCTATCAGATATACTATCTGTGATACCCCCCCCATGGCTTTGAATAAGGTAAATCCTGATTCGTTAATGCTCTGAACGCTGTCATAATTCAGCCTGTTACTATGGACCACAGTCATCTGTTTTGTCTGATATGGAAGGGATGATGAGCACGTAATGGGAAAGGCAAGAGAAAGAGAGTTTTTGACACGAGAAACAGCCCCGCCATTGCAGTGTCAACCTAGAAAGTGGTGGTGAGCAAACGAGCGGGCGGTAAGCACTCAACCTGTCACTGTGCTCAGTGCTTCATGGGAGATGATTTGCCTGACAGCTCTATAACTCTCTAACTGTTGACTTTCGGCCCCAGGAAAGCCAAGGATGGTGGTTGAACACTCGATGGCTTCCGTGTGGCACCGCCCCTTTGTCACACAGCGCCGGCCACTTTTTGTTATTTATGTGGAGTGGATTTTGCTGACAATTTAAAAGGGACCAATAAAGCAAAGCAGGCAGAATCAGTCACAGGCTGGCGCTGTGCTTGAGAAGCACGAGGATCTTACCTGAGAGGATATGATGGGGACGGGCCGAGATCCTTTAAGAATTTTGCTTCCAATTCTTCATCCAGAGTTTGGAAAGGTTTTTATTTTGGAAAGCAGCTCCTCAATTCCTCAGTGGAGGAGCAATCTGGGAATCACAGCCCAGACTGCTTTTGTTTTCTCCTACTGCAAAGTGGCAATCGTAATGAACTGTCATCGTCTCGTTCCTCTGCGTTTCCTGCCAGCAAATCCATATCCCAGCAGGAACTGTTGGAGAGTTTTGAATTTGGGTTAAAAATCCTCTAGCTGTGCTACAGAAATGCGGAGATGCATGGAGCAGAATTAGCTTTAAGGTCTGCAGAGGAGTCCACCCCCTTTTCTCATTCTCTGGCACTTAATAGTCTCCGTAACTCACTCGGAGACATTAGGAAGAGAAAGCATTATAAGGTTTTGTTTACTTACAATTGAACAGTTTAAACAGCAAACCGACAAGACAAAACTGCTTCTCCGCAACAGGCCTCACCAGGCTCGCTGCCTTCAACAGGCCCACAAGAGGGAAAGAGAGCAGAGAGAGAGAGGCGGGCATTCTTTGAATTCGGAGGCAGGGAAGGAACCATTGGTTAAGGCTGGATAGACTGACAGTCAACCCAGCCAAACTTGCAAAAAGCAGCATGCGAGGCTGCAAAAACTCCCAACAGGAACTTGGTGGACTATCTTGCTGGTACTCTTTGCAAACAAACTACTGTATTTGCTGGCGTATAAGACTACTTTTTTGCCCTGAAAAACGTGCCTCCAAGTGGGGGGGTCGTCTTATACGCCGGGTGCACTTCAATTGGGATAGACATAGCTGCAAACTCTATATTTTGAGTGGAAATGTTGGGGTCGTCTTATATGCCCAGTTGTCTTATACATCGGCAAATACGGTACTTATGAGCTGGCACAGTGTGATACTTTGGAGAAATGGAAAGGCAGTGTGGTGTAGCAGGTAAGAGTGTGAGATTCAGACTTGGGAGTTCTAGTTTGAGTCCTTGCTGAGCCACAAAACTTCACAATGGGCCAAAAATGGTTACCTCCCTGCTAGATCTGGATTGTCGTGAGGCTAAGGAAGAGGAGAGAGCCATTTAGGCTGAGAGAGTGCCAGTGAATACAGAAAGCAATTCCTGTGGTTTATGGAAATTGGCTTTACTTTGAACAAGTTTGCTTTTGCCCCTTCGCTAGTGGTTTCTTTTTTTATGGTCTTCGAACAAAACATGAGCAGTAACTTTAGTTTTGCCTTACCCAGTTTGCCTTCAGGATCCTTCCCCAGCTGCACACATTTCTCCACTGAACCTTCCTTACTGTCCTCCTTTTACAGCAAATAATAACAAATAGCGTTTAACTGTGTAATCAGTCAATGATTCTCTCCCCCCCCCTTTGTAAACAGCCTTGGAATCGTTGATAAAGGGCTTGATACACATTCTTCCGAATAAAGAGATTTAAGCGTCAGTTGCTTGATAGGGAGGAATTTAATTGCTGCCGTGCATCCAGGACTGTTGTAGAAGGGGGTAGCCGTGTGCGTCTGTGCAAGCATTAGAGGGAAAAGCAAAATAGAAAAAAAAAGTTAAAAAAAAAAAGCTCTTATGTCTGATGAAGTGGACTTGTCCACAAAAGCCCACCTTAAAAAAATATAAAAGTTAATCTTTACGGTGCTACTATGTTTTCACTTTTCTGTTTCTTTTTTTTTTAAAAAAAAGAACTGGCTTTTATTTCTATTTTGCTTTTACCTCTAATTCCGAATGGTGTTTCTTGTTTGTGTAAATGGAATATTGGATGTTGATGCAGAAATCCCACTGAGATGTAAAAGCTTTCAGGCTGGTCACCAGCTGCCAAACTAATATTCCTTGTTTGGAAGATATAATGGATCATTCCAGGATTCTAAGCCGCTCTAAACTGAAATATAATAACGCCGTCAAGCCAATGCTGACTAGGATGACCCTTTTACAGGGTTTTTGAGGTCCAGAATACTCAGAAGTGCATTACCATCCCCTTCCTCTAGGGGTGCTCTGGGACTGTGTGCAGCTGACCCAAGGCCACCCAGGCTGGCTGTCCTTACGATAATGGATCATTCCAGGATTCTAAGCCGCTCTAAACTGAAATATAATAACGCCGTCAAGCCAATGCTGACTAGGATGACCCTTTTACAGGGTTTTTGAGGTCCAGAATACTCAGAAGTGCATTACCATCCCCTTCCTCTAGGGGTGCTCTGGGACTGTGTGCAGCTGGCCCAAGGCCACCCAGGCTGGCTGTCCTTATGGGAGGAATGAAACTCCCAACTTCTGGCTCTGCATCCAGAGACCTAAATCATTGAGCTATTCCAGTCTAGATATGTGGAGAATGCCCAAGAAGATTCTCATTCTTGCTGACTTTGTCCGTGTCTTAACGCTGAGACTTTTCCCCAAGACTTCCCCATCCACCGGCAAGACGTCTTGACTTCCTGGAAAATGGGAGACCCCATCCTCTTTTTCCCTTGACTCACCCTCCTGTGTTTTCCCTGTTCTTGGGCACAAGCATCTTGAACTCTTGCGCTGCTGAATGTCCTTTCTAGGGAGACCTGCACAGAAAAAAAAATTGTGCAGGAATGGCAATAATTCAGCACAGATGGGTTTGTCTTCTTGGGGGAAATGATCCCAAAACATCTGAGAAAACCTGAAAAAATTTCTGCAGGGCAGGGAAGCGTCTCACTGAGGGGGAGAACAAGGGGATGTCTCCCACCACCACCTTCTAACTAAGAGACAGAGGTTCCAAGAATCACATGTGTATAGCAGGTATCTCAGAATGGCCTAATTTAATGCTTCTCAGTCTTAGGTTCCCAGATGTTCTTGGCCTACAACTCCCAGAAATCCTGGCCAGCAGAGCCAGTGATAAAGATTTTTGGGAGTTTTTAGTCCAAGAACATCTGGGGGCCCAAGGTTGGGAACCATTGACCTAATGGGTATAATCAGGTAGGGGCTCAGATGACGCACAGCCATGAAGCTCATTCGGTAAGCTTCAACCAATATATGTCTCTATCTCCCTGTCCCTCAGGCTTGAATTCTCTCACACGGTTCTGTGGGTAGTTTTGGGAGACCATGAATTTTTATTTCCGAAAAGGGTTGCACAGGGAAAAGGGACCCAGGGCTTTTTCTACCCACCACCCCTAATTTTACTTACCTGTTGAAAGTCTCCTCTTCTACGTCTTTGATAGATTACAAGGTAGAGTGTCTACTCCCCTTCTCCATATGCAATTTTTGATAGTGATAGTTTAAAAAACTCAGATCTAATTCCACCTTAAAAAGTAACTTATGCAGGAGTTAATTGGGTAAGGAGAAAATGCTTGATCAATCAAAATCCCTTAGGTCGTTGGCCACTCTAGCAATGCATGCTTTGGGTCTTTATGGTTATGGACAAGAGGCTTCCTCTTGAAAAGAGATACAACAACCTAGACTGTAAACCAGGCACTTGGTTATCTGCTTAATTTGGAGGGGGATGATAGACATTTTCTCCAGGGGTGTGTGTGTTTGAGGAGCTCGTTCTGCAACTGTGCAAAGAGATCATCATCATCCTCTTAAAACTGCAGAGCTGGAGGGGACCCTCTGAATCATTAAGTCCAGCCCCTGTCAAGGAGGCACAGTGGGGAATCGAACTCCCAACCTCTGGCTCCACATCCAGATACCTATACCAATGAGCAATCCAGCAGTTCATCCCTGATAGCTTGTGTTGCTTTGTGTCTCTGAGTCAGAACATCTTATTTTACACTGATGTGATGTCCTAGCCAGAATTTGGAAAGTTGCTTTCTTGGATGACAGCTTCCAGTACACCACTGGCCTATGACTGTGCTGGTTCAGCAGCCTCGGACCCTCTGATAATGGCTTTGCTTGTTTCCCACAAAGCACTGATTCTTCCTCTCCCTGCCCCTCCTTTGTTCTCCTACCAGGGCACTTTGCAGAAATTTGTTGATGACCTCTTCGAGACCATCTTCAGCACAGCGCATCGAGGCAGCGCCCTGCCCCTGGCCATCAAGTACATGTTTGATTTCTTGGACGAGCAGGCGGACAAGCACAACATCCATGACCCTCACGTGCGGCACACTTGGAAAAGCAACTGGTGAGTGCCGAAAGATGGCAGCCATGGTCACCCCTAGCCATGGAAAGTCCCTGTGTGATTTTGGTTATGGGACAGGTGCAGATTGGATGGAAGGAAGG